TACAATTCGACTACAGCAGGCGGCATCACCCCCCTTGTCCCGCACTTCACCAAAATGAATGTTTGTCGACTACAGCGTCTGCTGTCTGAAGTGCTGTCTGTACAAAATAACACCATGGTGTATGGTGCACAACAAGCTCGGGGCATGCAGCTGCTGTCTGAAGTGCTGTCAGAATGGTCCCGTGGACATACAATAAAGAAGAACAACCAACCAAAGCCATCATTTTTTTTTTTTTTCTTAATATGACACCACGAAACCATCATTGCAATTGACAATCAACCATGCAATCTCCGGAGAAGCGCAGAGATTCATTTCTTCCAGCCAAAATGCGGGTGAACTTTTCGGATCAAAGGATCAAAGGAAGGGTTCATCCGAAACCTCCTTGAGGTAGCCTGCCGGCCCCACAAACCTGTGCCACCTGCCCACCTGCACACTTCCTACGTGAACGGCGGGTCAGACCGATTTCTTGCTCCACCCGCTCCTCCCGCCTTCACTCCCGCTCCCCCCTCCCCCTTCACTTTCATTGCAGCCCAAGATCTATTGGCATCCAGGTGAGTGCACGCAGTGTTTTCTCGGGCGTGGTACTTGCGAGAGGAGACTGAGAGGAAGGCAGAGGATCACGCTTTTCAACTTTTTATGTGGCCACCCTTCCTTGTCATCAAACTACACTACATGCAGTAGCGGACGGTTGATGGTTGATTCGTACCCCGTTGTTGTTGTTGCTGTTGTTGTTGTTGTCTTCACATTAAAAACCGTTCCGATCTCTCTCTTATATACCCAGTACCCCGTGCAGCCGAATGAATTACCGTTCCCGCTTTGTATGCCAAAGGAGGAATTGTGTGTATGTACGTGAAAGCAGCTGAGGCGACACCGAATTTGATGGCAAGAGATTCCTTGTTGGTACAAGCGCTCAAGGTCTTGACATTGATTGAGCTCAATCCTGCTTGCTTATCAGGCCTCTCGAATGCCGAACAAACGGTACGCAACGGCACGGAACGATTGCACCTCACGGTACATGCGTCTGTAGCCAAAAGCGAAAATCTTTTGTCGCATGCGGTGATGCTATCCTCTTCACAGCAGCGAGCAAGGGCAGCGAGCAAGGGGGTGAGATTTGAGCGAGGTGTATTGCAGTCGAATGGGCACGAGCACCGCGAAACAGGGTGATACATCCCTGCAGCAGTGGCGAGGACACAGCTAGAGAGGAACGGACAGCGTCACCCGTAGTTTTTCTTCGACCGGAATGCCAGACTCGACTCTTTACTCTTCTTTTCGCCAACACGCACAACCCCATCACAACGAACGGAAGAAGCGAGAGCAACGCACATACACGCAGTGCACGGGAAGGGAGGAGTGCGTATGACTGGCTTGACTCAATGGCCACGAGAGTAGTGTAGCATCGCACCTCAGCTCTCTGTGTGTGCACGCACATTCAAACGCGTACCTGAAGAAAAGATCGGGGGCGGACGAACAGTTCGACAGCGGAGCCTATACTGGTATGTAGTCTAGAACACACCCGATTTATCGTAGGATCGATCGCCGACTGTCCAAGAGCCTGTGCACTGAGGAATCATGGTCTACAGGCTCTCCCGCGGCGGAAGGGGTTGGGTTCAGGCTATACACGAAAAGTGAGAAGAACCCAGCAGCAGAAGAAATTATGCGTCCAAAAAACTCCATGTAGGTTCCGCGGTATGACAAATCGTTCCGGTGCCGGTGACGTTATTTGAACACACACACACACACATGCACCGTCGGCAACTTGCTGCATGCCTATTGAGGCCGTTGTCCCCAGATGGATGCGAGGGAGGCACTTGACCGAAACACGACAAAACAGCCGCAGAGTCACGGCGTGCTGCCGGTTTGCCGCTCGTTCACTGCTGTAGTCTACAACCGATGGTGTTGTTGCAGTTACAGCGGCCTTTGTGCTGTAAAAAAACTCTTTGAAGACTGCAGGGACACGTCCGCAGCGCGCAGAATTTTTTACCCCGTTTGTTTCCCGATCTTGGATGGAGGCGGGAGTTTGTGTGGGCACGTACCCGAATGCTACATTCTTGCATGCACCTACCTGCTGTAAAGTACCCGAATGTTGCGCACAGCCTACAGCAGGTATGCAGTACCATGTCTAGCCCGCAATAGCAGCAGCAGCAATAGCAGCAGCAGCAGCAGGCGCACACAAGGATTAGAGAACGACATGGGATCTAGACTATGGATCAATGGTCGGCGACGACGGTTCACAGGCTCACAAGGTGGGTCGGACCAAAGGCTATCTCATTGCACCGGCTCTCTTTGACCTTTCCGCCCGATACAGAGTGTACCACAGCCAAAAACTTGCTAGAGTGCGCCTCTGATGGAGAGCCCACAGAAAGCCCTGGTGAGATAGATTCGTTTGTTGCAGAGAAGAGGTGACGCGATAACACCTAGAGTTATGTGCAGTGTGCTTGTGTGGCGCTGCCACATCCTGGTGCTGGTCTGACGGCGTGTCTCGCCCCCACGTTTCGATATCGGAGATCTGAGAGATGCGCCCATACACTCGTCCACCTCTGATGTACAACCACCACCCCACACCCGCCCGGGCAGCGGGTGCGGGAAGCTGCGTTCTCCTGTCTTCGGGTTCCGCAGCTTACCCGGGCGGTCCAAGCCAAGAAATAAAGCAGCACAAGAAAAAAAGGCGTGGCCTTGACACCAGATTGTAAGGCGTGGTGGGCTTCTGTGGTGTGTTTTTTTATTTCCGCTTTACTACGGCAGTCTGCTGTATAGTTAACAACTATGGTAGGTACTGTCTAAGTAGCATATGCACACATGTACTTCATTCTGTGTCTGTGCATGCCATGTGCTTAATTTTGTTTTTTTCGGTAGGTTTGGGTAGGTGCTTGCGATGTTGCGCTGTATTCATGTAATGTTTTGTTGTTGTTGCTGTTGCTGTCTTCACATTAAAACCGCTCCGGTCTCCGCTCAGTACTTCTAATGTCCGTACTATACTACACTATACTATACTATAACGGTACAACTGACGCGGACGCCTTCCGTGGTCACAAGCTAACTGCCCCAAAGGGGGTACACCTTTCTAAAACTAAAAACTGGACACCGGAAAATTCCATAGATGTGCGACGTAACACAACAACCAACCCCCCATTGAATACCGGTGTGTCGCCGTATTCACTTTTTATCATATTTTCTGAGTAGGTTCTCATGTTGGCCCGAAAAAATATTTCCACCGGATGTGTGCGCGGGGGACGCACCCTTGTATTGAATGGCTCAGATGTTACCCCACAACGCGTCCTCGAGAGGACGGAGCATTGTTGCCTTGAGGACCGATCACTGGCGGCCAATAGTTCCTACTTTGCCAAAGGTGCTCAAAACAGTTCCCAATTCAATCTTTATCCTACCGATATCACTTCACCCACCACGTCCTACACCATCCCTGGCTATATTCCCTGCCTCAAACATTTCCGCTGTACAAGTACCTTCCTGCGATTCCCGGGTCACTCATCACGATTCCCTTTTCGTATAACGGACATTCTGGGACTACAAGAACGCGGTTTTCGCACTCGGAGCGGAATTCGTTCACACTTACTTGACTTTTCTGACCTCCTGACCGTAAATGTTCGCCTTCAAGTATGTTCTCGAAGGCCGAAATTCCCCAGTCCCAAATATGACCTTCAGCTTTGTCCCTCCTGCACCCATCCATTGCCCGTGTAGGTACTCCTTGAACCCTATCCCTTCTGTCAACATTCCGTTCACAACCGGGTGTGTGTGTGGGGGGAGGAGTATTATGTACCTCATGTGGGAGTGTGGGGGTATTTTTTTCTATTTTCAATATTTGCATCGGCTCGTCGATCGCTCTTCTAACCGGCTGACCTTGCGCTTTGACTTTCACGATCGGTATTTATTTTACCTCCCCGTCTTGCATTGGTGAGTACCTGCGTTGTACGGAAGGATCGTTCCACGACGCAAACGTCGACATCTATCTCCGTTTTTTTTTTATTCCCTTCGCCCTCCTTCCTTGCGGCGGTTTTCACACCGACTTCCAACGTGGGGTGCAATTTCCTCTCTTTGTACCTTCCTCGTCGGCCGGACAAATGAAGTTGCTTTTCAAACCGGTCTCTCTGCCTGTCTGTGCGTGTGGCGTGCGGGATTCCAACAAGCCACAAACACGTAGCAAGGGGACTGGGGATGGCCGGCCGGCCATGCACCGCCCGCGTCCACCCGTCCATCCCTTTTTGGTCTAGTGCTCTCCCTCCCTTTTCTCTAGGCCCACCATTTTCCCCCCGTTTGTTGGCATAGACCCATGCCTTATACTTCAAGGCAGCAGCAAGTCCGCAGCAGCAATCCCCGCGCTCAAAGCTGGTTCCTGAAACCGCTGGGTTAATTGACGGTGAAACACGAGTTATTACGTCGTCAACCATGTGTGCATATGACACGAACTCGGCGGTCAACGGCGGCGCGCGGAAGATTTGCAATCATCACACACAGCTACCCGAACGTTACATGCGCAGCAACAACGCGCCGGCATCACCGATCAACCGTGATGTTAAGAGTCATTCTCACTCCTCTCTAGTCTATGGTGCGAATCAACGACTCTTTCGGCGGGGGATGGACTGGTTGGCAGCACAGTTTTTTCGGCGAGCTGAATAGTCTAATGGTTCGTTTCCCTTTCGTGCGAAAACTTCGCTTTTCTGCAAATTTGGCTTCTTCACCAACCAACATTTATTTCCGCGCGGGAAGTTGTATCGTCTAGACGTCTAGACTGCTGTGTAGGCATGCATGTAGCGTAAAGTTGGTTGTACTGCTGTCTTGGTTTACTGTAGTATGCGGATATGTGTCAATTTGTTCGTTGCTTACCCGCAGTGGCTTCTTTTTTTTTTTAGGGGGGGGGGGTTGGGTCCTTCCATATGTCTTTGTTGGCCGCTGCTTTAAAGAGGCAGAAGAACATGGCGAACGAACCCTGCCTACACCACCAACTGCCTGGCGTTGACACGCGGCCATTCTTTCTCACTTCGCAGCAGATAGATTGCACACCACCACCACCACCAAATGATGGAGCCCAAGACGTCGTCGATGGGGATTGCGCCCGCGGTCGCGCTGCTGGCGTTGGCCCTCCAGGGAGCGGCGGCGCAAGAAGAAGATGGCCGCAGCACCAGGCCTCTACCGTACAAGAAGTGGCGCACGAACCCGAAGGTATTTAATTATGCATACGATACTGAACGCAAAGGTATGCGAAAACACACACAAAGCCGAAGGTTGTCTCGTCCGGTGAGAACCTCTCTCGTGCGGTACGTACATACGATACATACATGCACTAGTTGTTCCGCCTGGGCTCCCGCCGCTACGTATTTTAGGCTATAGTAGTAGTCCGCTGTTTTGCTCGTTTTCTCGACGGTCAGCTCTGACGTTGTTTGTATGGGTTTGTTTTTTGTCTCCATGCTTTGTTGGCGCTGCCGCCAAGCTACCTAATTTACCGTTTTTGTTTGGCGCAGCGGACGGAGTCGCACAGGGCAGGAGGTATTGTAGGTCTGTAGGTGCATATTTGTTTTTGTTGAGGTATTGTACGTAGATTCAACTGTGTGTCCTCGGCGGTGGTCTTCCAACGTTTAATACAATGTTTAATAAATGACATCAGAACACGCGATTCGTGTAGGAGTTCAGTCTCTTTGTTTTTTGTACGAGTCTCACGGATAGCTTACAACGTATTGCGAGATTTGCAGTCCATGAAGTTTCGGACCCGTAAACAACATGATAGAAGGGGGTAACGCCAGGGCAACGCGAGGTTATCCCAACTGACGCACCGGACTTACTTGCCGGGGCGACGATTGACTGACGACTTGCGAAAATCTCGCATCTTGCCGATGGAGCAAAGATACTTTATTTATGAGAAGAATTATTGTGAACAATCAGGATCTCGGTTCATCTGCTGCACATACATGCCGGCGAGAGGGAGGACAGGAAACACCCAACAGCCGTCGGTCACTCAGACAAAACGCAGATAGATGCCGAGAGGCCTGTGGGTGGAGAAGGATCAATTTTGTGGGGCCTTGTCTCCGTTTCTTCTTGTTTTGTGGGCCCAAGGTTAGCTTACTTTTTACTGTACAAAGCAGCTACACACACAGCAGTACCCCCATCCTGCCTCTATTCCCAATCTTGCAAAGTAGCGCCTTGGGGTGATGTAGACATGTAGACCGCACCACCTGCCCGATGCCCTTTGACCGCTTTCTAGCCAGAGCCAGAGTACTCGTACGCGATTCATGTGGTGGCGCCACTGGTAAGCGCGCCCCCTCCGAGGAGTGTACGGTACAATGCGGTTCGTACAACAACGCGCGCCCTCTCTACAGTACTCCAGGGTGAGCGTTGAATCGTTTGGAGGGCGGATGGGATATGTTTTCTTTGTTCCCTTTCTCCTCTTGATGAGGGAGTGTGGAGAGAGGTCTTGAGGCGAGAACGGGCGAGGGCATTCAAGAACGCTGCTGCTTTCCGTGTCGACAGCGGGGGGGATCCCCCGACGTTATCGTTTACCAGTATTTGTTTCTGGAGCTGTTGACCTTCGCGGCGGAGAAACAATTAGTCGAATCGGTATGTATACACAAGAAACGCCCCTATTAGGTTCATCAACCGGGAAGACGACCGTGAAAACAAGTGTAAGATCAAAGGGGGGTATTTGGGGGTGGGTGGGGGTGGGGGGTATGCAAGAAAGAATGTACATCAGGGGCAAAAAACCGCGGGGGATTCGGAATACATGCGCACATCGCCATATCAGGCCTCCGATAGCACCTACTTACGAGAAACCATTTCATACTACCGGAGGAAGGATGTCAGCCCCTCGGGGAAGCTTGTGCCCTTCATCCACCAGGTTCGCGACGGCACTTCCGCCGACAGAACGAGAAAAAATACGAAAATGTCACGGCGAAACGAGTTTTATCCTTCGACACCCGTGTTCGGGTTCCGCCGCTGCCTCTTACTGGTCTCTCGAGCCACGAAAGCTCATGTGAGGTCGACGAAAGAAAGCTGCTGCGGTGCGTGAAGTAGAAAGCCGTCTCATGTGCGGTGACAAGCCACAGCCAACGGGTTGGGAAGAGCTAGACGCCCGCCGGTACACCGCTGGATATGACGACTAACCCCCCCCCCCCCACCCCCCCTCTTGGTCGAGGCGAGTATTGTTTCGCTGTGGATTCGCGTGGAAAACACACAAGAGCAACAGAACCCATGCCACAAGCAGTGCAATATAGCTCTCTCCTGAACTGAACCAGCACGTGGTTGGACCAAAAATGGTCACCCCGCCCGGCAGTCGAGAAGCGACGAGTTAGGAGTTTGTTTTGCCTTCCGAAGAACAATATTCTGGGGTTGTTTTCAACCATCTGCAACCTTCCTTGTGTTCGGGGCTTGCAACTTTTGTGTTCGGGGTTGTTGGTTGCTACGCCATGCCGCTTGCGAACAGAAACCCCACATGTTGGGAAACAGCAGGCCATGGACCACTGTCGTTCTGTGTACCCAAGTCCAATCTTTTGGCAATCAACGCTCTTTCGATCGATTCGACATTGTTTGCAGACTCCATGTGGGTGTCCACAAAGGTTGGTTTGAGAATGAGGTTCGATAAACCTGAATAGGCGGAGTCTATACCAGTATCCATTCGCTGCTCGACAAAGCGTCGGAGTGGCGGAGAATAGCGCGAGCCCCCCCCGCGCCACGATGTGATGGGAATCTGGAGTTGGCTCCGGGCCCACAAGAGCTTCCAATAATGCCCGTAGTACTTGCGGTGGCTCTTTACCCACCTTGCTAGAGTTTGTCCGGTTGCATGCTTCTCAAGTCTTCGGTCTATTGCCGACCCTCCGGCTAACTCTCGGCAGACTACTGCCGCCTTTCCGCTTGCAGACAGGCTTGTTCTTCGAGTCCCTCCCGTCTTGTTGATCTGTTTCCTTGTTTCGTCTTTATTTCTCCTCCCAAGCCGAGAACGCATTGCACGCGCAAGCAAGCCCCAACAGCAGCCTGATCTCACCCCCACCAAAATCACTCTCCCCCCCTTAACCCCCTTGCTGTGTCTTGCGTGTTGGCGCTTCTCCGATCTCCCCACGTTATAACATTTTGCGCGAGCGCAGATGGTCGTGTTCGGAGACTCGCAGTCAGACACCGGCAGGCGGTACAACGCGCCGGCGAGCTACGTCTTCGAGGGCATCGGGGTGTACCCTTGGCCAAAGCTGTACGAGGCTCCCGACAGCGAGGTGCAGTACACACGCGCTTGCCACCATCAAGCCAGTTGCCGTTTTGGAGTGGACGCGGTGTGTGCCTCTTTCCGGATGTACATAGTCTCTTGTGTGTTTGGTAGAGCTAATATAGCTCCGCGTCCGTCTTGGCCTGTACATCTCCGCCGCCGCCCCTTGGTAAAGAACCGTCTTTACCCATGTGGTCGTATGCCATGTTGATTGGCGTCGGGGGGGCCGCGGGTACGCGCGTGCGGTCAATGCGCGCTGTCGAGTGGACAGTCTTCATCAAGGCCGCGTCACGCTGGTTGACATCGGGGTGGTGGGGGGTGGGGCTTGTGTGTACGCGCGTGCGGTCGCGGTCGATGTGTTTGCCCGAGGGATTGGCTTGAGTGTCAGGGTCGCGGTCGCGGCCATTGTGAGACGCCAGGCAAGGACGCCCGCAGTGCACAGCCCCGTCGTCGGCCCTGAATCCAAGAACGCACCTCTCCCGTAAATTGGCTCCGGCTTGAAACGAATACGCTGCTAGCGGGGGCACGCGCGCGTGCGGGGGGGGGGGGGGGGGAGTTCATGACTTACTGACGAGTTGTTCATCATTGCTCGCGGATCAAGATTAAAGTTGCGC